CTAATTAGAAATATATTTTGGCTGATAAAAGTCTGTAAGKCTTGATTAGATGGATATGTTTTTGCAGTGGATATGTTGAGTTRTTACCTCCATGTTGAGTTCAGGCATGTTACTGTCTTTTTCATATCTTTTTTTTAACTAAAATTGCTGAAGATGTGATGATTATGCTCGATTGTGTCTAAAACACTTCAATCCAAATCACCAAAACATGCATATTTAGCCAACCATATAATCTGACCCTCAACCCAGTTCAATAGAACAATAAAACTCAGATGGAATTAGCATTCAGTTTTTACTTGCAGTTTCTGAAAAGCTGTTTTTAAACAATCCATGCCTGCAAACATGTCTGTATTGATTTGAAGAGATGACGAAAGGTGCTTTTTTTAATAGCACCCCAAGGACTTAATATGTCTCATTTATACAGTAATATGTGCAATAACAATGAACCAAATTTGCTTTARTTCGTCACAACGGAGCTCAATTACCTCTTCCATCAGATCAATCACGTGACTTTCATGYGCAAAAACAATGACCACATGAGCCGTAGATTTCTTCATTACATCCACAATCCTCCTCAGCTCTCCTGGCTTGTTGTCCCAAGGCAAAACCTCCAAGTAAGCCAGACAACCTCCACCAGACAGACTGAGATCAGACTGAAAGGCTCGAGCAGCGTGCAGTCCGTAGTCATCATCACTAATTAACAAACCAACCCAGGACCAACCGAAGTGTTTTAGTATCTGAATCATAGCTCGAACCTGAGAGGGCATGGAATGAAAATTACTAAGTAGATTTGTCACTTAATGGAAATACAGTATCTTCCCTATAACTAAAAAAAAGAAATCATTCAATTTCCTTTACTATTTATTTGAAGCACAACTAACATCAAAAAGACTACTAAAAACATGTATACTTTTATGTATTTAAATAGTATCTCTTAATATTTCCCAATGTACAAATTCTACCTGAAAGAAATCACTTGGTACTGTCCTGAAGAAAGAAGGAAACTTCTGTCGATCACTCAGGCAAGAACATGTGGCAAAATAACTCACCTGTAAAAYAAACAGTTTGTACATCATTATGAAGAAAAATCAGCTGTAAAGTACTAGACTAAAATTTAACCCAAATCAACTAAAAGGAACACAAAATGATRGATGAAACTTACCATGGGTACTCGGTACAAACCTAGAACAGTGGAGATGGCGATGGAGCGTGTAGACGACGAATCGCCAACAATTCCTAGAACCGGAGGGATCCCTCCGCAGGTCTCATCTAATATCATTTGCTTTTCCTCACCGCTGATTAATGCCAGGGCTGCACGGAATCCAATTCCAAGGTCGACACAATTATCATACAGGCTGTAGCCCAGAGTTACATTGGGTAAGAGCTTGGAATTTCTATTGATCTCATCAATAGCGAAGGCCATGGTCTGGGCCTGTCTAAATCCTAGAACATCAAAACTAACACAAAGATGCTACTGTTGAAGACTAAAACCTCTAATTTAAGTTATAACCATGCATGTCTTATAACCCAAACTCAACTGAATAAAACTTTGTGTTATTTACATTATTTACRTTTAATTTAAACAAAAGGACATTTAAAATATGGCATTATTTCATCCCATTAAACACTCAGATACACTCACCCATGGCAGGTAGGATGTTGTGGCTTAGAGGTAAAAGTAAAATTGGCAAATTTAGAAAAGAAATGTATTTCAAATAGTCCCCCCAGAACCACATCTCCAGCTTTGTGCATCCGGTTTAGATGAAACTGTCCCTGTAACTCACAGGAGGGGAGCGAGGAGGCTGCAGCAAAAGAAACAGAGACAGGCAACATGAGCGAAAGCATGAAGGGCCACACGTCTTTCATCATATGACCCTTTCATCAATCCAAGTCATCAGGTTTATTTTGACACTGTCTCTTTTAATGGCKTTCGGTATCTCATTATGCACACGCAGGATTAGTGGGCAGAACCTGAAATCAGTCTCCTTTTCATCAATGTATTAAATTATCATTAATAAAATGTTTACCTTAACACCATTTASGTATGTTCATATTTTAAATTTCAGAGGAGGATGAATGATCATGACGAAATTAAGACTTTCCATATTTATAAACCAAATGAAGTGGACTTTTATGTGTATATTAAATTGTCTGTTTGTATTTGCTTCTTCTAGATGTTTTGCAGATAAACCATTTCATTCACAGCTAAGCAGATACACAGAACTATTAGATCTACATAATGAAGATCAATCACAAATCCACAAAAATATATTTATTCAACTTTCAGAATATGTAGAAAATGTCTTATCAGCTGCAAAATAAAGACAATTAGGTTTTTACATACAATTCTTTATTACTTTCGATTTAATGGAACAATTATTGCAAAGATCAAAGTAGAGTCAGAAGATATATTAACCTGCATCATATTTCCATTAAAGAGTTGGGATTTCTCAGTTTCAAGTCCATACATGTCCACTCTTTCAGATGTTTACCAGTATAATGAGCCTCAAAAATCTGTAATTTTTGCAAAAAATCATGTTAATCACATGTGCAGGGTGGTGGTGTGTGTGGGGTGGGTG